AGACATCCTCAAACGTCCGCCCCAGTGGTGCTGTTACAGGTTAGGGCTACTCTGGCCTACCGGCACGGTGCCCAGGAGCCTGGCCAGGGCGGACGGGTAGGGCATTTCAGCCAGTCGTACGACCGCCAGAGAGGGCCCCGCTCGAGACATGCTCGAACGTCCGCCCCGTCGGGGCTACTATAGTGAGGCTAGCCTGGCGTATTGGTACGGCCTTTTGGAACTTGGCCAGGGCGTAGCAGCAGGGCTACGTTGGCCAGGGCCGGAACATGTTCAATGCAAAGCAATTCAACGCAATGCATTGCATTGCAGCGCATCGCAGCGCAATCCAATACAATGCGACGCAGAGCAACGCAAGGCACTGTAACGCAATACTTGCCTCGTCGCGTGTCCGCGCCGCAGGGCCCAAGAAACAACAATCCCGCCCCACTCGTCACATGGCAATGCCTGGGCGGGCGAAAACATACCATTCCACTCCTCCCCGTCACGTGGCAGCGCCGCGGTGTCCGAAGACAAGTGCGACTCCACTCTTTTCGCCATGTACGAGTACGGAGCACCTGATGGCACTCCACTTCGTGCCGTGAGACGCGGTGGCGGAGTATGCCACGACGACGACAATGACGACGACGACGATTCAACGAAATGCCACGCAATACAAATCAATGCAATGCCTCTTCCCTTCTACAATTACACAATATGAATACTATTCTCCTCTCCTCCCATGATGACGTCTGGAAGATGTTCGGCCCCCTTCCGCGTCTTGTTTTTTACACAGGATTCGTAGGAACTGGGTTTTCGCTTGGGCTTTTGTTCAATGTGTAGCTCCCGTTCAAACGCTGGCCTCATTTTCAAGCTTTCGCTCGTTCCGGATCGTGCTCCCGCAGCAGCGCTGGCCTCATTTCCGCGCTTCCGTTCGTTCCGAATCGTGCTCCCGCTGCAGCGTTGGCCTCATTTTCGCGTTCGCGTTCCGCTTGTGCCGAATCGTGTTCCCGCTGCAGCGTTGGCGTCTTTTTCCAGTGACATGCCACGGCGTGGTTTTCGATCCTTCCAAATCGTTCCCAAAATCTCGAATCTGGCCCCCCGACAAAAACAGTCGGAAAGAATTCAACATTTGGTGTCGATGCGTTGATTATTTTGCCCCCCACCACTTTAGGGGCGTCGCCACGCCATGGCATGTCATGCTTCGCCTTGGTCTTCAGCACTATGCTATGCCAAGTGATGCTATGCCGTGCTGCGCCATCCGACGGTGCGAATAGAGAGAGGAAATCTACGTCATGGTAAGGGATGGGAGGGAGGGGTAGCTTTGTGGGCCCCGGAAACGGCAGGGCCCTTTTTTCACCGCTTCCAAAAGAACGGCGACCGGAAACGGCAAAAAAACGGCTCCAGGATTGGAACGGGAGCCGGAACCGGTCAAGAACCGCGACGGAACCCGTAAAAGCACAGCGTCGGAACCAGCAAAAAAACGGCAAAACGGAACGGGTAAAAAGACGGCCCTGTCATTTCCAGGGCCCACTACAGGGTAGGACGTCAGATGTGACGCGAGTGCAACTAGCTTGTCTTCCTCCCCCTTCTTACCGGTGCGGGAGACGCCTGTTGAACCCCCCGCCGCCCAGGCCTCTCCCCCCACTTTCGGGTATAGCCAGGACCCCGGGTAAGGGGACCCGGTTAGTGGTAGGGCCCTGGGGCTCCTCAATTGGCCAGGTTCATTAAACCAGGTTTGGCGTAACTGGTGTTTTCCGGGTGACAGCAGTTCCCGTTAGCGGAACGGGGCGGGGGGGGCGCCCCCCGGTACACATCTCTAAACCAGGTTCCATTAAACCCAGTTCTGCTAACGCCCCCCATTTCCCAGGGCCAGAAACAATCGTTCTGAACCCCCAAGGCGGCTTCGATCGGCCAATGTTTGCACACCCCTCACGCGGATCACGCTTCCGTGCTAGACTGCTGTCCGAGACCTTCGAACTATGTCGCACCGCACCGGGGCATCCAAAAACACAATGTTTGAGATCTCCCACGGGGTGCCCCCGGACTTCCAAGCAGGTCCATATGGCCTCCAGAGTGAGCACCGCTCACGAGGCCGAGGGGCCCCAGGGGCCCAAAGGCGGCGCGGACAGCTGGGGACACCTTTAGGCATGGGCATGGTTGCCAAGTCCCGATCGTTGTGCTTCCTCCTCCGCCTACCATCTTGTGGCTCCCTCCTGGTAACTGTCCGTCCTCCTCCTCCCGTTCTTGCTGCTCCTCCCTGCTCCTTCTCTCTCTCTCTTTCTTGTTTTTGTTGTTGTTTTGATTTCTCTCTCTCTCTCTCTCTGCCGACCTTCTTATCGCTCTCTCCTGGTGCTCCGCCACCTCTTGCTGCTCCTCCCCGCTGCTCTCCCGCGCCTCATTCCCCTGCCCTGCTCCTCCGTATCCGTCCTGGCCCGAGTGGGGCGCCTTTGGGTTTCGCTCCTCGCCGCCAGGGTGCCACCATGCGCCCGCGCGGCAGCTCCACGCCGCGGAGACTTTGAGATCCCACCGTCTGCCAGCAGGCTGCCGGAGGTGCACAGCTCTTACCAGCCTCGAACGTATGCCTATCCCTAAGATTGACACGCCAAAAGGCGATGACAATCTTAGGGATCCGCCCTCAAAAAAGAAGGGAATTCCTAAGATTGGCATCGTGATGAGGAGGTGCCAAGCTTAGGGATAGGAATATGTTCCAGGCTGGTAAAGATCGGGCCGGTGAGCACACCGTCTGGTGAGCACGGGAGCCTTGAGACGAGGGTCGATGCAAACGGGGGTCAGCCAGGGCACCAGATCCTGCAGGATCCTGCGAGGACCCCCTCTGGCTGATCCGGGTTAGCGAGCCGCTCGTGGCCGCGAGGCGGCCGCGCACATTGGCGGACCCGGGTTTGCGAAGATCTGCGTTGCAGTTTTTAGTTTCCTGCAGTCCAGGGTCTGGATTGACCCGGGTCAGAAGATCCCCGATGAGCACAGGGTAGCAGAGTGCGGCCACAAGGTTCAAGAATATACGTATATGTTAGAGGAGTGCCCTTGTGTTCCTCGTAGATGGTCCCTCCACTGTGGTAAGCGTTTCGTCTTGGGTGCGCCAGTTTGGCCTTGGGCCTTCGGCGAAATGGGCTCGTGCTCTTGACCTGCTCGTGGCCACGTCTCGACTGTGCACCTTCTGGAGAGGGGGGCGACCTTTCGGCCTCGGAGAACTCGTAAGGGGGGGGGGCGATAACTGGGGGGGCAGCGAGGGCTGCCGAAAAGGAGCTCTTCAGGGCCCCTACAGGGGCCCTTTCGGGCCCGCAAGGGGGACTCTAGGGTCCGAGAAGGGCACCTTCCCCACAGCCATTCATTTTCCTTTTAAGAGAAAAGACCCTCCCCCCCTCGGACTTATAGACTCCCCGGAAACCGATGCAAAACACATATGGTTCTGACCCAATGTCCTACCTGTGAAGTCAGACTATCCCTGCCATGCCGGTATCCCCCCCCGCCATCCTCTGCAAAACAGACTATGCGCGCGCATTGGTTCATCAACAATCATAAGTTGTCAAGAATCCCTTGCAACAAAGTGAAACGAAGTGCACGCGCGCGCGTCGTCACGCGGGCATGCCGAAATCCTCCAAAAAACTGTTGGTTTCGGAAGGATTTCAAAATCGAGTGTCCAAAACACATAAAAATAATAGGTTTCGCAACAAGCAATTGCAAACAACAAAAAACATGCGCGCGCGTTCTTGCGAATTCGTAAGCAAGCCATAGATCTTTCAATAGTTTCAAACAATACTACCAGACGGGCTTCGCGCGCGCATGTCGAAGTCGTTCGAATGCCCTTGCGCGCGTGCTGTCGCGAGAATCCTCGGCAACAGATGGAACGGAGTGCACGCGCGCGCGTCGTCGCGCGCACATGCCGGAATCCTTTGAAACCAACGGTTTCGGAAGGATTTCAAAATCGAATGTCCAAGAAACATTAAACACATGGTTTCGCAACACGGATGTTCAACAAAAGTGTGCGCGCGCGTTCTTGCGAATTCTACAGAAAATCATGCTCTGTTTTGCCACATTGTCATATAATTATCCCAAAACGAGCTTCGCGCGCGCATGTCGAAATCGTTCGGACGCCCTTGCGCCTGTGCTGGGTTGGCACGATCCGTGTCAAATAATATCATGCGAGCCACTCTCGCGCGTCTGCCGCGCGCGCATATCGAATTCCTTCCAAAACCTTCATCTCCGACGCGAAGACGCCGTCATCGTCGCCGGCGAGATCACCATCGGCGCCGTCAGTGGCTGCCCCGTCGTCGCTGTCAGCATCGTCGCCAGCATCGCTACGATCATCATCGTGTCTACGGCTGTCGACGTTGCCATGATACCGCGTCCGCCCAAGTCGCTGAGTCGCACTGAAGTGTCCGCTGGGATGTGCCGAGCGGTCAGCGCCACCGCGTTCGCATCGGTCGCGCCAAACTATCTGGCCGCTGCGCGCGCGAGCATGCGCGGGCTAGCGCGGCCGCAAATATGCACCAGCCAACACCCAGCGCTCACCGCAATCGCTCCCGCATGGGTTTTGCAAACCTGGTTGCGGGCGGGTGGGTGGGATGATTGCGCGAACAAGCTCGGCAAGTGAATTGCCCCCCGTAAATTCGCGCCAAAAGGCCTGGCCTTTGCCGGACGGCGTTACGAGCAATGGAGGCCCCCGTCGTCCCAGGACGCCGTCTGGTGACGGAGGGCCCAGTGCAGGTTATGGTGTTTCTATGCGTCGCAGGATTCGTTTGCGGCTGATTGTTCTAGGCGTCGCTCGGACGTGTGCAATTCTTTTCGGCCACGACCATCGAAGAACATCCTGGATCATCCAACAACAAGCGAAAACGAAACATGCACGGGGAATGGACGTCCGAGTGATGGCAAGTGCCAGGATGCAAAGCCTCGCGGGGTGGATCCGGCATCGGTGCTGGTACTTCTTTGGTCGAAGCCCCGCCTACCGCGCCTTAACTTTGCTTAATCCGGCTTAGTCTGGTCCAGTGGCCCTTGGAACCATGATCGGCAATGCCTGGACGCTCCACGGACGTTCTCCGGAGCCGTTGATGTTAAGTTCTGGAGCCTCGAAGGTTGGCAATGGTGCTGTGGCAGCGTGCGCTCCTGGGCTCCCTGCTCATCCCGAAGAAGGGAAGAATGCCTAGACAGAACTTCGCGAAATCCGCGCGGATATCTTGGATCACGAAGCTAGTCCCGCGGAGTGGGAGTGCGTGTTCATGTACGTGGTGGGGCGCGTACGTCCTGTGTGGGCTCCCTATTCTGGCGCCGCTCCTGGCCCGCGGAGCGTGCTTAGGACGGGAGTTCAGCGCCGATTCAAGAGATCCGTGCGGACCCTCGGAAGTTTTATGTTTAGCCATCGGTCGTGAAATGTCTGTGTTTTTGCATCCCCTGGTTCCAGGCTACCTAAGGCGCCTTCCTATTCCCAAGGGTCGAGTGATTTGTCTTCTTCCTTCGCCTGCAGGGTGGCGGGCGGCTACCCCACCGAATTACTTCCAACGCTTCCTACCTCATGTTTCCAACCACTTCATCCGACCGATGGGTACGCCGTTTTCTTTCTCTTCTCCCATCGTCTGCCTCCAGCTCAGAACGCCGCTGGCGCTGCACCTCCACGGCGACAGCAGCGGCGAGGCGGAAAGCCAAGGCGAGCCTTTCAGCCAGCTGCGGGCCGCGCTGGCCTCCCTCAGCGCCCATGGAACCTCCGCCGCCGACTGGCGCGCCGCGCTGAGGCGCCGGCGACGCGTAAGGGGTGACCGTTTGTCAGGGTGATCGTTGGTGACCGAATCTTGACACTCTCGCGTCGTGAAAACAATCAGGACAGGGGTGTTCAAGCAATCCGCGTGCTCCCAAGGCCTCACTGGGCTTTGGGACCGACGACGAAGCAACTCAGGATGAAGAGCTGGTCCCGGGGAAGGTGTCTAGACCTCCGGGAGTCAACGAGGGCAGAGGAGAGGAGACGATGACGAGGACGACGACGACGACGACGACGACGACGACGACGACGACGACGGCGACGGCGACGACGACGACGACGACGACGGCGGCGACGACGACGACGACGACCACGACCACGACCGCGACCACGACCACGACCACGACCACGACGACGACGATATCGGATGTCTGGGAAGGGCAGTCGTCTTTCGCTGGGGTGATCTTTGGGAGCCTCGCCCCTCCAGCGCTACCGAAGGCGCCCAGAGCGGCTGGGGCGGGGGGCGCTCTCCCCCATGCAGCAGCGCACCAGACGTCACTCTCGGCCAGGGCCACCCTCGCGTGGAGCCGCAGGCGGGCGGCGAACTCGGCGGACAACGGGTTGCCCGAGTCTGAAGAAGAGTCATCGCCCGACTCGGCGAGCAGTCGGCGGGAGGTCCAGCGCCTGTCATCGATGTCCCAGGAAGATTTCATCAGGGAAACGACGGTCATGCTGCAAAAAGAGGTCGAGATGCTGTCCAGCTCGCAGAGGGAGACGTTGCGGGCGATCCAGAACGGGTCTGTTGGTAAGGACCAGGTGGAGATCGTGCTCGCGCACTACAATGAGCACGTTGGGTGGAGCGCCATGTACGACAGTCTGATCACGCCCTACTGCAAGGGTGCCCCCGAAGATTACCCATGGCGCCCGCGATACTGCAAGGAGCTTCCGAACAAGGGCCGTGAGGCCCACACCTTCCTGCACCACATCGTCCAAAACTACCACATGCTCGCAGACTGGACCGTCTTCTCCCAGGCGCAGGCGCCCACGTCCGGCATGGCGGAGGAAGGAGACCATCCTGGAGGCCGGAATTGACAGAGGTCACCGCCCGGGGAACCAGTGTCCCACGACAGCAGGAGGCAGTGGATGCCGCTGGCCAGACATGGCACCCCAGCCCCCGATGGCGGCGCGGATGGTGATTCCCGAAAGTGCGTTGACATCACCGGTGGGTAGGGTCGGATGTTCTAGGCCTCCTACATGGGGTCGGAGTAGATGGGGTCGGAGGATCGCGCCGCATCGCCGATGCATCGACGATGCGGTTTGATGCGGAGCCCGATTTTCTCCACGCCGACGTCGCCAATGCCATTATGCGTCGCCGACGTCGACGATGCATCGACGATGCATCGCCGATGCATCGGCGATGCGGCGAGATCCTCCGACCCCATGTACTCGGACCCCATCTAGGAGGCCTCTAGACGTTGATATTCGAGCGTGGTCGCCCTTCCGCAAACACACCCCAAGTCGCTTCATCTCCGTTGCGCGCGTGGGGCGAGGGTGCCGTGAGCGGGGGCGGGAGTCTCGTTTCTGATCGCCGGATGCGGATATGCTTGGGCTCCGCCTCCTGGGCCCGAGACTGTCAACGTGCACTGCCTCTGGGGGTCCTGGGAAATAGGTCCCCCATGTGGTGGACATGTGTGTGTTTGTTGGTGGGACAGTTGAGACAATGGCAGCTCTCCTGCCTGGCCCAGGGCCGCTCGAAATCGGTCTCCGGGCCCCTCGCTGGGCCCATGCCGAGCTTAGCTTTTCGAGGCCGCCTCTCGGCCGAGGCGACACGAGAGGCGAAGCCTCCAGATGACCCCCAACGGCGGAGAGACGCCCGGGAGGGCCGCCTCTCTCTCGACTGGCCTGCCTCCGAGCATGATCTGATGGGCGTGGTTTCCACCACCACTACCACAAGTTGGAGTGGGGGTCCTCCTCCTCCTCCTTCTCCCCCGCCTCTGCCTTCTCCTCCTCCTCCTCGTCCTCCTCCTCCTCTTCGTCCTCCTCCTCCTCGCCCTCCTCCTCCTCCTCGTCCTTCCCCCTCAAACTTATGGTGGTGGTGGGGGAAAACAGGCTCATCATGATCAGTTCCGACCTCGGGCTATCGGAACGGCCACATCTACCCAGGGGCCACGTTCCACGACTACGTCCTGGGCGGGGGGCCGTTCTCTGGCGATGGCGGCGACAGCCGTGGGGCGCGGTTTGTGTTCAACGGACAGTGGAAGCCGCAGTACGACGTGAAGAAGAACTACAAGTGTGACAAACTTGCGTGTGGACCTACGTATGATCTGATCCGCATGTCCTTCGCGGCCAACTACTTTGTGGCCCTGGGCCTTGATGAGGGGCCGCCTCAGCGCCTGAACAAGACGTGCCTGAGGCTGAAGGGGAAGGAGGGCGTGCTGTGGTTCGCGCACGACCGCGACCACCACGCCTGGCACAACGCCCTCAGGACGTACATACAGGCACTGGGCGCCACCGAGGAGAAGAGGTTCTACTACTCGCAGGGTGCCCGCTTCGCGCTGTCCCGGGAGAGGATCCGGCAGCGCCCCCGGGAGTTCTACGAGCAGCTGCTCCGCACCGTGGACTCCGACGTGGACCCCACGGCGGGCGTGTTCGTCGAGCTGCTCTGGTACTACATCCCCGGCCGGGCGGGCGGTGCCGAACAGCCGTGCGAGGAGAGCCCGTTCGCGGGCTGCCCCGAGGGCTTCGAGCAGCTCGGCAGCCTGGCAGACCACGCGCCGTACGGGAGGGTGGAGACCCTGAGGACGAGCTCCATCTCGGCGGCGAGCGAGGGGGGGCCAAGAGAAGGAGATGGCCAGCTCAGAGGGCGGCGGGACTTCTCAGAAGGCGCCTGGCCCTCCGAGAGGCTCCGTTGAGTCTTCGGGGAAGGCTCGGAGAGCTCCTCAGAAGCTTTGGGGGACTCCCGAGCCTTCTCAGAAGGCCCGCCCCTCGTCACTTCTCCCCCGCGCTCGCCGCCGATCCATCGAGGAGTGCGCGGCGGCGTGCCGGAGCGCCATCGTGGGGTGCGGGTCGTTCGAGTACCACGCCAAGAAGCCCAAGCTCTGCGTGCTCCAGGCCAGGAACAACTCGGTCGAGGAGGCGCAGCTCGGGTTCTGGCCCGGGGCGGTCGCGTGCAGGCGGGCGGGCCGGCAGTTTGGCTGGCAGGCGTGATCTCCGCTGGAGGTGCATCCTCGATGATCATCAGGACGTGTGAAAGCCCAATGTGTGCCTGCCCCGCTCAGCTCCGTCGACTTGACGCAGCCCGTGTCGGCCCTCGTGGCACCGCCCGCATCGTGTCGAAGGGCTTCGGTGGGCAAGCACACGTTGGCGCCAGCATGCGTCCTAAGGATCGTCGGCGTTCACACCGCGAGCGCTCCTCGGAGTCGTACCACTTTTGCATCCCCCCCCCCAGAATTCTGGTGCACTGAGCGCGTCGGCGGTCCGCCTTCCTGGTGCTGGCTCTCCGGATACTCACCAGCCTCCTCCATTCCTTTGCCCTGCCCCTGCCTACGGATCGTAGGCGTCCTCGTCCTCCTTCCGCCGTATCTGCATCCTCGCGATTCTTGCAATCGTCTTGTCAAAAGTACGCTAACCCTCCTCGTATCTTCTCTGCCCCTGTCTTACTCCTTTGTGCTCCACCGTGCCTACTCTCTCTCTCTCTCTTTCTCTAGTTATCCCCATTATCTTTAGTTTGTTGTTGTTTTGTTTGTTAGTTGTTTTTGTTTTCTCTCTCTCTCTATATCTATCTATACACATATACAGATACGCCCTCGCCCTGCTTCTATGTACACATACAGTGCATATACCCATGACTATCCCTCTCCCTATATATATATATATATATATGTATATGGATTCTCCCATCTCTCTCCCGTTCTCTCAGGTGTGCTTCTCTAGACAAAAAATATGTATAACAATATCAGCCAGCGTTGACTCCAAATAGATAGGAGGACAGGAGGAGGAGGACGAGAGGAGGATGGGAGGAGGACGAGAGGACGGGAGCAGGACGGGAGGAGGACTGGAGGAGCAAAATCAAGCAAGCGCAAGCAAGCAAGCAGAAGCAAGCACATTCAAGCAATCAAGAACAAGCAAGCAAGAGCCATTGATCAAGTGCAAGCAAGCAAGGGCAAGCAAGAGCAAGCAAGGGGGTGGTGCATAGGCATAGACATAGGCATAGGCATAGGAGCGCTCAGAGGTGGTGCATAGGCATCGGCATAGGTTCAGGCGTAGGCATAGGAGGTAGGGGGAGACATAAGCATAGGCACAGGCATAGCTATAGGAGTTAGGGCGGGACATAGGTATTTTTCTGGGGGGGCAACGGACCACTCAGTAGGGTTTGAGCTAGGACTCCTATAGAGAAAGCCTAGTTTGATAATAATCATTATTATCATGATTGATACAGGCACGTGTCTAGTTCCTTCTCCCTCTCCATCCCTGTCACTCTCTCTCTCTCTCTCTGTATATATGTATATATTTATACACATATATGTATCCCTCTCTCCACAAGTGTGTGCATGTGTGTGTTCTCTCTCTCTCTCTCTGTCCTCTGCCTGTCTATCTCTCTCGTGATTCTCATCATCACGTAGCTGCAGCTGCCCACTTGATTTCCGCAGAGCAGCGCAAAGCCCCCCCCCCCCCGAGAATGCTGGTATTGGTCTTCCTCCGCCTTCTCCTCATCGTCCTTGATTTTCCTTCCCATCCTTTTCCCCCGCCTCGTCCATCGTCCATCCTCGCCCTTCATCCTCGTCTTCTTCCTCCTCATTCGCTCTCCTCATTCCTCCTCATCTCTCTCCGCCCCCGATTCGTCCTCCTCATCCGTCCCGTCCCGTGCCAGACATGGGACGCATGTTCGGGGGCCTGGAAGTTCCCCGGCGGCCTCATGCAGTTTCTCATGGACGCGGGGTTCCACCAAGGAGTGAGAAAGCAGGGAGGAGGACGAGGAAGAGGAATACGAGAGGATAGGAGGAGGAGGATGAATAGGAGGAGGAGGAGGAGGAGGAGGAGGAGGAGGAGGAGACTTGCTTCTTGCTTCTTCGCAAGAGCCAGCAGTGTGGCAGGGGAGGCTTGAGTTGCCACAGAAGGGGGAGGAGTGGTTCCATGAGGGTGAGGGTGCGGGAGAGCTGTGGTGGTCAGGGTGGGCGTTGGGTTCCGCCGAGAGACCGCAGGGTGGTGGGGCTCCGTCGTATACGAACCAGAAAGTGAGGGTGTCTGAGTATTGTGGAGGAGGAACTGGAAGAGACGAGGGAGAGGAGGGGGCGAAGTATAGAGTGTGTGTGTGTGTTTGATCCTCTGCCTGATCACAGTCGTTACCCGCCTCCACCTTGTTGTATCACATGCTGGCGCTAGCGCGGATCTTGTTACGATCGCCGCGCGCCCCACGTCCCGACGTTCCCCACCTGGCCCTCGCGTTGTTTTTACCCAGGGCCCAACCCCCCACCCCCCACCGGGTAACGACCGTGACCTGAAATATTACAGACAATTTCGAGGTGCAGTCAAGACGCCGGAATAAGGGGCAGCTCTGGTTCGGAAGGGGCTCGCTGTGCCACAGGTGCGTCATGTGGATGCCTCCCCCTGGCGCTCCTCGTGCCGCCAGGGCGCTCTTGGGGGGGCCAGAAGCAGCAGCACCCGCAGCAGCAGCAGCAGCAGCAGCAGCAGCAGCAGCAGCAGCAGCAGCAGCAGGAAGCGGAGCAGGAGCAGGAGCAGAGGGGGACTCCTCTCCTGCGTCCCGCGGCCCCGCCGCGTTGCCGAGGTCGTCGGGCCGACGACGACGCCAGCAGACGACGACGTCGTCGTCGTCGTCGTCGTCGCCCCGACGACGTCGTCGTCGTGGCCGACGGCGTCGGCCGCGGCAGAGGTTCCAGTGCCCCACGCCGATCCAGGCGGCGCGCTCCCGCCGCCCCCCCTCCGCAGCCGCGCGCGCCGCGCCCCAGCCGCGCCGCGGGCGTCTCTCCTCCTCCCTTCTCCCCCTCTCTTCTCATCTCTCCTCCTCCTCTCTCCTCGTCCTCCTCCTCCTCCTCCTTCTCCTTCTCCTCCTCTTCCTCCTCCTCCTCTTCCTCCTCTCTCCTTCTCCCCTCTCTCCTCCTCTCTCTCTCCTCCTCCCTCCTCCTCCTCCTCCTCCTCCTCCTCCTCCTCCTCCTCCTCCTCCTCCTCCTCCTCCTCCTCCTCCTCGTCATCCTCCTCGTCCTCGCCTGGGCCCCCGCCCTCGCGGGCCCGCCAAGGGGGGCAGAGGGGCTCCCGCCGGGCGTCCCCCCCTCCCCCTTCTGAAAGCTCCCCCGCTACCACCCGCCCAGTCCCAGGTCCTTACCCCCGCCAGGAGGTGCTTCAGCGATGATGGCTCTCGCGCCGCGTGGACCCCCAGAGTTCCGCGCGGGGGGCTGAGCGTGGAGGGGGGGAGGGATCAGGGAGGAGGGGATGCAAGAGTCTGATGATGAGTTGTAGGGGGAGGAGGAGTAGCAGCAGGAGTGAGAGAGCGTGACGAGATCCAGCTTATGGCTTTTGAATGGCGACGATGGCGGTGGCGGCGACGAGTTCAACCAACGACGATGTGTTGGAGGAGATGAGGGGGAGGAGGAGGAGGAGGAGGAGGAGGAGGAGGAGGAGGAGGAGGAGGAGGAGGAGGAGGAGGAGGAGGGATGAGGGAAGAGGAGGTCGGAGGAGGAGGAGGAGGAATGGAAGAGCAACAGGAGATCCGAGGTCGTTTGGGGATCCGTGGTCGTTGGGGGCCTTGTTGGGTCCGAATATGGGCTCTGCTGGTCGCCGTACCGGTCACGCGGGTTGCCCTCGCGGCTGCGGGGCAGCTTCGAGGGGGAGCCCCGAAGTCTCCGAGAGGGTCCCAGCGCCCCCGAGGCGAGTCCAAATCTCACCCCTTCGAGGAGTCCACGGGCAGCCCTCGGAGCATCTCTCTCTCTCTCTCTTGCGGCCCCCCTGGAAGGATGGGAGAGCCTGGGGCGACCGCCAAGAGACCCCAACGGGATTCCAAGAGGCGGGGGGGCTCCAGAGGTTGCGAGGGGCCTCGCAGGGCTCGACCTGGGGCTCTGCCCGGTGCCTTTTCGCCCCGGAGTTCCCGGCGCGCTCCCCAGGGCTGGCTCTGCGGCAGGGGGTCCTCCTGCGGCGCCCTGGGCCGAGAGAGCAGGCCCCGCGCGCCATGGACCGGTGGCTCAAAGATGGGGAGCCTGCGGGAGGGGTTCCCAACGAGGAGCCTCAAAAGGTAAATCTGCCCTTGGATCCCTTCCTGGCCTTTAGGACCCCATCCCTCAGGCCCCCTTTCCTTTAATCGCCGAGTACACTGCGGTCCTCCTCGGGCGCGTCTTCTCGCGAGGACGATGCGCGAGTTGACGCTGACCAAGGTGGGCGGTGGCCAAGATCGGCACGACGTTTCCGCGTTCAGTCGTGGCTGCGGTCCCCGTTGTTCCCCCTCCCCAAGAAGATCGGGCCGGACGAAAGGGGGGGCATGGGAAAGGGGGGGGTTCGAAATCTGCTGCACGCAGCTGGTTTCGGCCCCACCGAGGGGCCCAGTCCTCGATACATCGCCGCCTCGGGCGCCGGGAGGCGCCAGTTAATTACGTGAGCTGATTATCACCCCCCCTTTGCCAGGGCTCGAGCTAAACGGTGTTTTGGCAATTTCGTGGACCGTTTTCGTTTTGACTTCGTCTTGCAGCAAATGCGGAGCGAAGGCAGAACTAGGGAGGACGAAGACAGAACGACAACGGAAAACACTGTTTATTTCGAGCCCCCCCCTTTGCCATCCCCCCCCTTTTTCGCCCGGCCCGAGCAGAGCGAGGGGGAGGAGGAGGAGGAGGAGGAGGAGGAGGAGGAGGAGGAGGAGGAGGAGGAGGAGGAGGAGGAGGAGAAGTCGTTTTTTTCTTGGAGGCGCGCGAGGCTCGGGCAGGGCGCGCCCCGCCGACGAGCACGGGCCTCGCCGCCCCGGAGCAGGGGCGCCGCGGCCCTGCGGCCGCGAGGAGGAAAAGGGCGACGCCCCGAGGCCGACGGCGAGGAGGGCGGCGAGGACGACGCAGAGGACGGGGAAGTTCGGAGGCGGACGGACCTCCCACTCGGGCACGTCGATTGAGGAATTGGCCGTTCTCGGTTCGCGAGGGGGCGTCGCATTTTTGCGGGTCCAGGTCCGTCGGTTTCGGTCCCAGGCCGTTTTCACTAAGGGGAGGTTTATTAAA